CAATTACATTTTTAGATCTATCACATTTAGTCATTTTTTAAACCCCTTTAATATGTGCCATGTTAGTTTTGTATCATTCTAGTTTTGTTAATAAAAATGTCATGAGCTACCAAGTCAAATGTTTAAAGGCCAGATTTTAAATTTATTGAACTGTCTAACTCCAATTGGGAGTACAGTACATGAACACTAACTATTAAATTAACATACTATATTTGTCAGTCAAACATGTAATCTCGTCAAAAAAGATATCAAGTTAATTTAATATTTATTGAACCCTTCTGCTTTTTCTGCATTATTCTACCCTTCCCATCTAGTAATGGATCAATACTGTTGGTAGGATTACAGTTTTTCCTAATATACTTTAAACAGTTCCTTCATATGCTCCTTAATTCTGCTGTTTTGAGTTTGTTTTCCTTGTTTCCTTTTCCTTCCCTTATCAATTTTCTACAATTCCCAGTTCCTAATTGATATTTATTACTATCAATTTTCTCCTTTATCGTTTGTTATGTATTTGAAAACAATATATACCTTCATGTGTTTGTTTGTGTGTATATGTTTTTGTTTCCCATTTTACCAGGTTTTTGTTGGTTGTTTATTTTTAAAAGAGTATGTCCACAATTTTTGTTTGTGGAATTGCAGGGTTTTTTCTTTTTTTTGGAAATGTATTGAAATGTTACTGAACAGTTCTAAATTAGCATTCACGTTTAAATTTTTTCTCCCATATGATTTGTCACATAATTGTTCGTAGATTTGTGAAACTGGCCTCTCTAAATTGTATGTGTGTGTGGTATGAGTGTATATAGATAGATAGATAAGATATCTATATGTAACCCTTCTCCCAGGTGGAGATGGCAGCAGAAAGGTCCTGGTTCAATATCTAGGGGTTCCTTTTCAACAATACAACACAGAACCAGCTCAAGCCCCACCTGGTAACCTGGGAAAATTACACACCAGTTCTGGGTTCCTCTGAGAGGCAATACTTCCCCACTCGCAAGCACAGAGTCTGAGTGTAGAAAAGAAACTTTGAATGAAAGGAGGGAAGTCAGCTGACATTAATTAGAGAAATTGCCACAAGCAAGATTCATAATCATAAAACTGTGAGCAGGACCCTCACCCCCAAGTGCAGGGGCAGTGTCTTCTGCCTCATGTTCTTGAGTTCTACAACCAAAAGTTCCTTTACTGTGCCCCTCTCTGATCCCTTACTACAATGTGGTTGTCTTTGGTCACTGAGGACTCAGGGTTCAGAGATGTACCTCTGTGAGTTCACCTCCCACCCAGGGAAGAAGGCACCTTGCTTGTTCGGCTATCTGAGCACTTGCTCTGGCTGGCGTTCTGCTCCGCTGGCCGCCCCACCAGCTGCTGTTCTGCTTACCATCCCACCAGAAGGATGCTTGCTGGTTACCTTTTGCTGCCATCAGCCTCTCTGCTGTGACCTCTGCAGGTCAGTCTCTTGAGGTTTCACTCAGCTCTTCATGATTTCCAACTCTTAGAGGGGAGAACCCCTGAAGTGAGCAGAAAATCTGTCCCCTCACAGCTCTTGTGAACACTTAACAAAGCAAAAGACTCCTAATGGAGTCTATTAAGCTCTATCTTTGAACAGTGAAAAGGAACAAGTTAAACTAGAGTGGGGACCCTTAGACAGAGTCCACACATCTTAGCAGGGATATCTGTTTCCACTTCCTTTTACTTTCCAAGGCTTCTGGCATTCAAGCCCCTGGCTTAGCAAGTTCGTTTCAGCTGAGGGTGACCCCCTCAATCGGGCTAGGTTAAGCACAGTTCTGCTCCCCTTTACTCATACAATAAAGATAACAACACTGATAACAACATTTCCACTACCTCTGCATTTAGTACTAAAGTGATTTGTAACCCAACACCAGCCAAAGTTGATCATTTTGGGCAACATAGCTTCTGAGATATATAGATATAGATATATAGTTTGCTCCTGAAGTCTCTCCCCCTCCCCAACTAGCTGTCAGGGGAGAGCTCATTCAGACCCAGCTTGCATCTATTTATATAGATATATATCGTCTTAGTTTAGATTTTTTTCCACTTCCAGATAACAAATGCAATCTGAGCAGTGCTGAGTGAACTACTGTGACAAAGTGGGGATTTTCTCTTGTTATGTTGTATATGAGCCTATGTGAGTCTTACTGTTTTGCATGAATGCTTTGTGTGCCTCAGTTTCCCTGTGTATTGCACCAATGTCTAAGTGGTGGGAATAAGGGTGTGTGACTTTCACGGGAGCTGCCGAGCTGCCTGCACGGATGCTATGGCTGCCCTTTCATAACCTGAGACCCAGGAGGGTGATGCGACCAGGTGACTCTTGGCCCGGGAAGTGAGACAAAGGCCAGAGGAGGAGCAACGGGCAGGGCAGGGGCCAGGCAGCTGGAAGTGAGTCAGTCTCGGCTGGCTTGGGGTGCAAGGGGAGGGCCAGAGCCCAAGATGGACTTGGCTGAAAGTCACTGGTTTTGTGCTAACAAGTTCTATCCTACTCTATGTTCCTGTTGACTAATAAACTTTCTGTTTTACTGGCTGGCTGAGAGTCACGTCTGACTATGGAGTTGGGGTGCAGGGCCTTCTGGCTTCCCCAGGAACCCCGCCCGGTCAGACTCGCTGCGGGAAGTGCACAGTGTGGAAGGGGATGCTGAATGCTCTGAGGTCAGACCCAGGAAGGTTGAAGCTGTTTAAGCTTCTTGCCCTGGAGACAGTATGCTCAGAGAGTGGAGGCATGCTCTCCCAGAATCCTGACTGGCTTCATAGGGAGTAGTTCCAGAGCATTGCTATGTTTCAGCATGACCTTTGACTTAAATTCTCCTTTGTAACACCGAAAGGTCTTCATAAATTGCACTTGCAAAAAAATATTAATAATTGAATTCTGCAGTATCACCAAAGCAGGAGTGAACTCTTTTATATTCCTTAAATCTTTCTTTTTCAAAATGTCTGTGGAGTGTGATATGAGCTATTTGTCTCATAACAAATACAAAACAGAGGAATTTAATGAAACAGTGATCCATTACAGTTTTTTTCTTTTTCTGTATGTGATGGGTAAAATCTGTACATTGTGGTAATTTTGGCAATGTTGAAGGAACTGGGCACATTTAGTCTATAAGAGAGAAGGCTGTAGGGCCACATGATAACAGACCCTAAATATGTAAAAGGCTGTTAAAAAGAGAATGGTGATCAATTGTATTCCAGGTCTACCAAGGGTAGGACAAAAAGGTATGCTGCAAAGGACATTTCAGTGAGATATTAGGAAAAATTTTCTAATGATAATGGTATGGAAAAGGTTATGTAGGGAGGTTGTGAAATCCCCATCACTGGAGGTTTTAACGAAGAGATGACAAACACCTTTCATTAATGGTCAAGTTTACTTAATTCTGCTTAAGCACAGGGGACTGGATAGATGACTTCTGGAGGTAACTGCAAACCCTACATTTCTGTGATTCTGTTTCTATGATTTTATGGCTTGCACCTCAGCAATCACTGATTTTTAATTTTCTGATCAGTTCCTCTTTCTTTGTCAACATGAAGCCTGCCGTAGTATTCCCCTGTGTTAGATGTTTTAAGTTAGGACATTTTCATTTTTATTTTATTTTATTTTTAGAAATTCTGAGGACATTTTATAGTGAAAGATTTAATGAGCTCAATCTATTTGCCTAAACAAAGAGAGGGTTGAATTCTGACTTGATCCTGGTACACAGATACCTACATGGGAAAGAGTAGAGGGGTCTTCAGTCTAGCAAATCAAAGCAAACCAAGATGCTATGTGGGAAGCTGAAGCTTGATCTATTCAGGCTGGAGATGAAGTGTAAATGTAGAACACTGATATGATTAACCATTGAAACACCTTACCCAGGGATATGGTGAATTTTCTGTCACTTGAGAAATTTAAATCAGACCTGGAGATATCTTTATAACAATGTGGTCTAGGTCAACCAGAAGATATGGACTTGATGCAGAAATAACTGGCCTGAGTTTTGCAGGAGGTCAGACTATATGAACATAATGGTCCTTTTGACCGTCATATGTCTGGTTCTATATCTGCAGGTCTGTAAGTTACCTGGATACCTGTTAGTCTTGTCTCTGGATTCAGGCCCCAGGTCCAAAAGTCTTTCCTATTAAGCAAAACACCTAAGGAACTGCTTAACTCCAACTAAAGGCAATCGGACTCAAGCTTCAAGATTAATTGCTTTGCTCAAAGGTGCGCCTGTGAAACTATACAGATGGACTTGGAGAGGTTTGTTGGAAGGGAGCATCTCCCACATTTCAGCCCAAGTGGGAGGAGAATGGCTACTTCTCCTCCAGAGTTCTCCTCTCTGGGTCTGTGCTATATGTAGCAGGCTGATTGGGTGAAGAGAGCCAGTATCAGGCCAGTGGTGTCAGCCAGGGTCTCATGGGTGATGGGGAAGGACTGAATGAGCATTGATCAGCATTGGGATGGGACCCTAGTGCTAGTCCATTGTAACCCAGGTGTGACCCATCAAGCCCCTCAATGCCAGCCAGCAGAGGGCACACCATAGCCTAAGTCACATCAGGCCTAACACGCTCATTGCCCCAGCTCACTGTCATAATCTGTATCTAAAAGGGGTCAAATAAGGGAAGGGTTCCCAAACCATGGGCTCTGTCCGTGACATAGTCCCAGGTGGTCTGCTATGGGTTGAGTTTTGTGTGGACAACCCCAAACTTTATACATTGGTAGAGTGGTGGCTGGTGAAGCAGAGCTGCCAACTGATGGGCAGAGGGTGAGGAGAAGGGACCTACCTCATGAGACGGCGGCTGGAGGAGGCTGCATGGTTCACGGCTGTTCCCACTCTGAGCTTCAATACCCTGCGATCCCTGGCTGTGTGTCCCCCTGGCTGTGTGTCCCCCCCTAAATCGGGATCGGTGATGGGTGATTGAGTCCATTAAGGTAACAGCCAGTCCTGGCTTGAGCATCTGCCTCTGCCCTCTGCCCAGCAACAGGACTGGCCTTAGGGAAAATGGCGACTGGGTGGGCCGGGGGGAGGGAAGCTTCCTGGAGCTGGGGGAGGTTCCCAGAGGAGGGTCTAACTCGGCTCCAGGAGCAGCCCATACAGTTGAAGAGGAAGTCCTGTCCCTCCTCAGTCTGGACAGGACTAGCAGGTGGACCATGGTACATGGTAGGAGCCCCTGGCTAGGGGGCCATCAATTCTGCCCATCCCTAGCTCTGACCCCAGCACTTGGGGGCTTGGGCTGGCTGTGTGTGTGTGTGTGTGTGGGGGGGTTATAATACCCCCCTGATCGTGGTGTCCTGGGTGGTCTCCCATTACGACCACCCCTAAGGCCAACCCTGCCTGGCACTGGGAGCCCCCAAGTCCTTCCCTTGTTCCTGGGCAGAGGATGCCTGAGATACGTGACAGGTGCTGGGTGGATGACTGGAGCAGAGCTGCCAGATGACTACCTGAAGACACTCAGCAGGCTTCTGAGCCATAGTATAACAGTGGGGGCTGGCTGTGACAGCTTCTTGGCTCCTTTGCCCTCTCACTGGCCCTGTCCCCCGCTGAGATGAGGGGTCATATGCATGTCCTACGGGGCCCCTCACTCTGACGGACACATGTTAATAGTGGGTCTCTGCCTATTATGGGTGCACTAGTGGGTCTCATGGAAAAATGTTTGGGAACCCCTGGTGTAACTTATCATAGGTGAACTGGTAACAAGCTGGTAACCCTTGCTCCAGATCAGTGCATCATGGAATCTTGTATGATTTATAGCCCAGTCCCTGTAGGGTGGGGTTGGGGAGAGGATGGAGCTTCTCTGGGATTTTCTGTTCAGACTCTGGGTCTGGAAGGAGTAACAGCACTAACATTAATGAACAAGTTCAACACTTGTTTCCTTGCCCACCCCTCCCAGCAGGATTTCCAGTTTCCAAACCAAACGTCCTTTCCCAGCTGGAACGAGGGGAGGAGCTGTGGGTCCCTGATCTCCAGAGCCACAAGGAAAGGGAGAGCCCAAGCAATGCCCACACTGGTAATGAAACACCTGAGTTAGAAACTAATTGTTAAACCCTCATGGCTGAAGCCTCTTATGCATTTTCATCAAGCCTGTCTGACCCTTCAGCCCCTGCCTTGATCTATACTCAGAGGATGTGGAGGAAGGATGGGTCTCCTCCTCTCACTCCTCTGGGGAAGGGTATCAGGGTAGAAAGATACAGTTCCTGATATTTCAATCTCCCCAGCAGTTATTTGGGTTTGTTCCCCCCTTTCCTGTTTCCCTTTCTGAGGTTCCCTGTCCCTGGCACAGGGACTGACTCCTGTCTGGATTCTCTCTCTATCCCTGCAGGTGATGGGACAGTGAATGAGATTGAGGAGGAGAATCCTCAGCAGGAAGGTCCTGAGCGAGTGGAACCACAGGGGATGGTATCGGGAAGAGGTGAAGGGCATGTTTCCCAGAGTCCTGAGGAGGGAGAGGCCCGTGAGAGTCAGAGCAGCGCAGAGAAGCATCGGGGAAACCTCTCAGAAGGGAGACAGAGTAAATCCACTCACAGGAGCAGAGGAGTCAAGAAAGTCAAAGAAACTATTCAACAGAGAATCCCCATTAGAGAGAGACCCTACATGTGCAGTTACTGTGGGAAAAGCTTCCAATACAGATCAGAACTCCTAGCACATCAGATATTCCACACAGGAGAGAAACCTTATGAATGTCCTCACTGTGGAAAAAGTTTCAGTCAGAGCTCAGCCCTTATTCAACATCAGAGAATCCACACAGGAGAGAAACCCTACAAATGTAATGAGTGCAGGAAAAGCTTCCGTTTGGGCTCAGACCTTCTAGCACATCAGAGAATCCATACAGGAGAAAAACCCTATGAATGCCCTGACTGTGGAAAAAGCTTTCGACGGCGCTCAACCCTTGTTTCCCATAAGAGAATCCACACGGGAGAGAAACCCTACAAATGCAATGAGTGCGGGAAAAGCTTCCGTTTGGGCCCAGACCTTCTAGCACATCAGAGAATCCACACAGGAGAGAAACCCTATGACTGCCCTGACTGTGGAAAAAGCTATCGACAGCACTCAGCCCTTGTTTGCCATCAGAGAACCCACACGGGAGAGAAACCCTTTAAATGCCCCCAATGTGAGAAAAGATTCACTAGGAAGTCACACCTTAATCAGCATCAGAGAACCCACACGGGAGAGAAGCCCTATGAATGCCCCGACTGCAGGAAAAGCTTCAGTCAGAGCTCAAGCCTTATTCAACATCAGAGAATCCACACAGGAGAGAAACCCTATAAGTGCAATGACTGTGGAAAAGACTTCTGTGACAGATCAAGCCTCCGCAGACACCAGAGGATCCATACAGGAGAGAAACCCTATAAATGCCATGACTGTGAGAAAAGGTTCAGTCGGAACTCAAGGCTTATTAGACATCAGAGAACCCACACAGGAAAGAAACCGAATAAGTGCCATGAGTGTGGGAAAGGCTATTATGATAGCTCAAGCCTCAGCAGACACCAGAAAATCCACACACGACACAAACCCTAGAAATGTCCTGGCTAGGGATGGGCTATGTCAGTAAAACCTTTGCCGATTCCCACATATCTAAGCAGGTCAGGCCAGGCTGAAATGGCCCTGTAATGAGGACATGCCATTGTTCTTAAAGCAGAGAGTGGAATCACTTTTCTGGAACAGAGCTGGCACAGCAAGAGGCTAGGCCTGAGATAAGAGTCCCATGTTGCGATGGGATTTGATTATTACTTCTGGAGAAGCTCTGAACATCCTCCATTCAGGTCCTTCATTTAAATTTTGAGTTCTACACCTAGGACCCTATTTTTATCATATGCTGGGACTTCTCATTTCTTCTTGATAGTGTTTTAGGCTGGGATCCACCAGGGGACTTAGGCGCTGGGACACTGAACATTCCAACACATAACTTTTAGGCACCTAGAAGATCACAGGAACAACACTGAGTTCCATAAACCCGAATCAGGTGACTAGGCTCTCAGTACAATCAATTGGGCAAGATGGGCATCTTAGAACTGGATTCACAATAGCCAGCCCGCTGGGTGGGGAGCTACTTTATCTAGCCAACAGGAGATGCCAACAAGAGGGGTATGTCCTAAACCCTGCCCCTCTGACGGAGATAGGCACCTATCTCTGTTTGTGCTTTATGAACTAGTGAAATTAGACACTTCCCTGCCAATGAAATCCATCCCAGTATGCTTGTTCAGTGGCCAGCTAACTTCCCACAAAACAGCTGGGGGGTGGTGGTGGTAGAAACTCACTCATAATCTTTAACCCCGTGGTTGGGGTACTCGCACACAATGTGGGACAGTCCCAGTTCAAGTCCCCCTTCCACTTGATGAAGCAAAATGATATGAACAGGGTCATCTGCCTGTCAGGACAGTGCCCTAACCAGTAAGGGTATGTCTACAGAGCAGCTAGCCACCCCCAGCTGGCCTGTGCTAGCTGACTTGGGCATGCTGGGCTGTTTCATTGCTGTGTAGACGTCCAGGTTTGGGCTGGAGCCTGAGCTCTGGGACCCTCCCACCTCACAGAATCCTAGAGTCCTTGCTCCAGCCTGAGCCCAGAAATCTACACTCAAGGAAGGAGCCCCCCAGCCTGAGCCCCTCAAGCCCAAGTCAGCTGGCACAGGCCAGTCACATTGTTTTTGTTTTTTTGCTGTATAGACATACCCTGAGCAAATGAATATTCTGATGTGGGACTGAGTCAGTCTCTCCTGTGTGTAAATATTTAAATAGTAACTTGGCCATAGAGAGCGAGAGAGTGACAGACTCTGCAGCCTAGGGGTTAGGGCATCCACTGGTAAAGTGGGCTGACCTTGGGTGCAGTCCTCATTCTCCAATGACTCTTTAAGTTTCCCTGAAGACTGTAGCCAGTATATGTACAGAGATGTGAAGTAAGGCAGTAATGCAATAGACTACAGGTCTTAAGCCTGTAAGACAGTAGCTGAGCCCAAGTAGCTGAGCTCTAAGGTCAAAGCCTTTACATAAGCAGCTAACCCATAGATGACTTTATATTATAAGATGTCACAAGCTAGAGTAATATTATAAGTAAGTGTTGCTAAATTGCTGATAGGTGACCACAAGCAGCCTGTTTATACCAGTTTCAGGTATTTTTAAGTTAGGAATATCAGCAGATGTTTACCAGAATCCCATTGTAACTAACAGACATATATGCTAATAAGTTTGAGGTAATGGATTTTGTGAGCTTTGGAAGAAGGGCACCCCAACGTTGATAGGGTGAAGAAATACAGATCAGGAAAAGAGGTGGAAATCACTACTGAAAATGCATTGGTATGACCGGCATTAGCTAACCTATGAGAAAAGGTGGAACTTGGCCTGTCCACTCCAGGGAGGTTTTCCTGGAACCTGTCAGGCCAAAGGACCACTTGTGGCAGGGCCGGCTCTGGCTTTTTTGCCGCCCCAGGCAAAAAAGCCCCCTGTGACAGTGTACCCCATAAGGCTTTATGGGGAGGGGGTGCTTATAAATGTATGTATGACATAACTGGAATATGTTTGGTGCTGCCTGTGCCAGGTAACATATCTCCGTAAAGGTTATGGTCTACTATATCTATTCATCCTATTTGTACATATATATATCATTTTCTACTTGAGGTTAAGAATATGGGCTGTATGCTTGCTTGGTTTCTAAGTAAGCTTTGGGAGGCATTTGGTCAGCTTCTTTAGGAAGGAATTCGCCAGGTTAAGTACCTGATCAGGAAACACTTGGGGAACAATGCATCCTGGAATGCTCCAATCCACATAAGAAGTCTTCCTAGAGACATGCAAGATTCCATGTGGGCAATGGCTTCAGCCTGTAAAGACTGAGTCATGCAGGGACATGTGACTTGCCCAGGTGACTCCAGAACTCCATCTTGGAGCTGGACTTCGCATAGGAGGGAGGAGGGGGGTCTCCTCCCACAAGAGAGAGTCTATTTAACCCTGGGGGAGACCCCTCCTTTTGGTCTTCAGCTGGCTAAAGAAGGAGCCTCTCCACCCCCCCAGGATGCTTGAAGGGAACTGAAACAAAAGACAGTAACTACAGGGGTTGTGAGAGATTGCTGGACCCAGGCTAAAGGGAGATTAGCCTGTGAAAGGGAGCATTCTGGAACTGGTGAGATTATCTGTATTTAGTGTGATTAGGCATAGATTTGCGCATTTTATTTTATTTTGCTTGTGACTTACTTTGTTCTGTCTGTTACTACTTTGAACCACTTAAATCCTACTGTCTGTATTTAATAAAATCACTTTTTATTTAGTAATTTACTCAGAGTATGTATTAATACTTGGGGGAGCAAACAGCTGTGCATATCTCTCTATCAGTGTTATAGAGGGCGAACAATTTATGAGTTTGCCCTGCATAAGCTTTATGCAGGGTAAAACGGATTTATCTGGGTTTAGACCCCATTGGGAGTTGGGCATCTGAGTGCTAAAGACAAGCACACTCCTGTGAGCTGTTTTTGGGTAAACTTGCAGTTTTGGGACAAGTGATTCGGACCCTTGGTCTGTGTTGGAGTCAGACAGGAGTGTCTGACTCAGCAAGACAGGGTGCTGGAGTCCGGAGCTGGCAGGGAAAACAGGAGCAGGGGCAGTCTTGGCACATCGGGTGGCAGCTCCCAAGGGGGTTTCTGTGATCCAACCCGTCACACCCCCCCACCCCCCGCGGGAAGCGCGGGGGGGAGGGCGCCGAGCCCGGCCGGGGCCCCGCTCTCCCTGACCGGCCGGAGCGCCGGGAGGAGGGCGGAGAGCCCAGCCGCGGCCCCACTCTCCCTGGCCGGCCGGAGCGCCAGGGGAGGGCGGCCCCGCTCTTCCCGGCCGGCCGGAGCGCCAGGGGGAGGGCGGTGAGCCCGGCCGTGGCCCCGCTCTCCCCGGGTGAGCGCCGCCCCCCTCCAGGTGCCGCCCCAAGCACATGCTTGGAGGGCTGGTGCCTGGAGCCGGCCCTGACTTGTGGGTCCTCTAATCTAGTTGGGGGCTTCCCAGCAAAAGATGGTGTGAGTATGCAAATGAGCTCATGCCAGAGATTGTCACATCTTATATTGCCTCTATTTACTGTGCTAAGTGTAGTGCTTATGACCATAGTATTGCACTAACAAAGCTGTTACAAATTCAGAAGGTCTTTCCGAGGTGTCTGTGTCTCTGTCCTACCTGCAGGGGTCCTCACTATAATATTGTTCCTAAGACAGAAGCGGAACTCAGTCAAATCACTGATTGTTGCACTGGGAAATCTAAATAATATCTAACCAATAAATCAAGCAACAAGACAGACTGCTAAGTCTTACCCCGAAGAAGAAGACTGCACACCAAACAACAGATGAGAACTTCCACCTGCTTAAAAATTCAGAAAGGTTTAGGAAATCAATGCTTATTGCTAAAATTCCATGGGTAATGTCTGTGCTTGGAAGGAAGTCAGAATTTGCCTTCAGAAGCATAATTATTGTTGTCCTAGAACATTGAACCCATAGGAGTTCAGATCTATTTCATAACACCAAAGTCTTGGGCTGGTTGGAGTTCTTAATTGGAAAATACCAAAGATGTATATACTTAACAACTTCCATCAAGCTATGAAAAATATCCTAGTTTCAAATGATGCAAAAGAAAAGAATTGCAGTAGAACTAGTTTTAAAAAATAGCACCTACAAGCAGTTTAAAATTGGGGGAAATGCTCCTCAGAACATAACTGAAGTTCTAGGATTTGAATCTGACATCATTGTGGCTACAACTGATTTGGTGCTGATTAAAAGAGCATGCTTTCACCTGTAATTGTCATTTATTGTTCACATGTTGTGTGCGTAGTGCTGAGCTACTTTGCTTGGCTTACTAAATTATTTGGCTTACTGCTTAAAAGAGCTACCCTTCAAATCTTTGGTTTGATGAGGCCATAACTAAATCTCAGCTGGACTTATTGTGTTATCAGTGCTCTATGGAAATTCATCTTTTGATGGTTAATTTTGTTTTGTCATCTTTCAATTCAATTCCTAACCTGAAGTGCTGCTGACAATTAGCTACTTCATTCATCACTATTCTGCTCTGCCCTGTGTTTTGCACCCGCTCCCTGAAGTTGTCCGTCTTTGCATTTGTGAGTGAGAATTATGTGCAAGGTGAGAAGCATCCTTAGATCGCTCTCCCTCGTAATGTCACCCTGTGTGTGTGTGAGAGAAGTTATCTTCTCACTTAAAAAATCTCATGCCAGTTTTTGTATGTGTGTGTTCTAAACTTTAAATCCTTTTATGCTAATGTCAGTTGTATTGCGTGTTTCTGACTACAGAGTTGTCTGTGTTCATACCTTACACTCCACAGCAGCCCCATTCCAGTCTTGGTGTGGGAACTAGTTCTTGTAATCTAGGTACTTTGTTGAATTTATTCTTGGTTATCTGATTCTATTTCATGATAAAGATTAGTTGTTTAATTATGATAATAATGTTTAGATACTAGTTCAGCTTAATTAGGATAAAGAACCTGTTAGTGAATACTTATGTGCAAACCACTGTGGTTAATACTTAGAGCTTTTTGAATTTTATATTCAGTTTTATATCACTAGTCCATTCAATATTGTTAACAAACCTTCTTTTAATTTACTTAACATTTTAGGATGTCGTGTTTAGTTCAGAGGTTTTTTTTAAGAGTTACTACATTGTATCACTCATTTTATTCAGTTTTTTTAATCTGCTGTATCTCATTTGCATACTGCTTGTTGAGTGCATACATTGGTTTCTTCCCTAATGGATTAAGTAGTTGATTACTTAAACAAACATTTCTGTATTTAAAGTCAAGCTCAGTTTTTTGTGGAACATCCCTTAGTGTATAGGAAAAAGAATCCTTGGTAACATTTTATGTGTTTACTCCTGATTGCAGTTTCATTAATAACCATAATCATTAATTCCATCTTTTCATTTGCTTTTCTGGAACTAGTCAGATGAGAAGCAGTTAATAATTGAGGTAATTATTGTTTCTCCCAATTATTAATTGTGATAATATTTTGGTTCTTTTGGTAAATTTATTCTGAAAATTAGCTCCTTTTTACCCCCTGCCCCACTCCTGGAATTCTGAGAGAAGCTCTACATCCCTGTTTTATGAAACATTTTCCTGGGCACTTGGACAGGAGAAAGGAGCTGTTACACTACCCCCTGAGTAACTGAAGGATGACAAGACTGAAGGGAAGGGGGAGGAGCCTCCTGACAAGCCTGGAGACTGCTGAGCAGTACCTGCCTCTTATCAAAGGTGCTTGCTGTGTGTTGTTAAAGATCTGTGAGAGCCAGGAAGAGATCCTCACCGATGGCTGGGAGGCAGAGGGAAAGGGACTTTCTGTATGTTTTGAACAGCCAGAGAGGAGGCCTCTCCAAGGTGCCCCAGTGCTCATGGACATGGGGTCAGGGATGTGATGTGCTCCTAAGTTGATGTCAGAGTGCAGTTGCAGAAAATGGATGTCCTGCATCTAAGGAAATGAATGCCGTGTGTCTGGGTGAA